TTTTGAGATGGAGTTTCACTCTCACTCTGTCGCCCAGGCTGGAGTGTAGTGGCCCTGATCTCGGCTCACTGCAACCTCCACCTCCCAGGTTCAAGCCATTCTCCTACCTCAGCCTCCCGAGTAGCTGGGACTACAGGCAGTCATCACCATGCCTGCCAGTTTTGCATTTTTAGTAGAGGCAGTGTTTCACCATATTGGCCAGGCTAGTCTTGAACTCCTGACCTCAAGTGATCTACCTGCTTTGGCAACCCAAAGTGCTGAGATTACAGGCGTGTGCCACCACATCCAGCCTTATTCTCAAATTCTTATAATAAAATTATTATTGTGTAGGCTTAGAAGGTAAAGCTAAATACAACCACCACAAACAGTACAACCAAAGCTAAGAATAAACTAGTGGGTTTCATTCACCTATCCATGTGATCAGCCCTTAGCCCTTCACTTCCACTAAGCAGAAGTATGCAATTTAAGATAAAAGGGCTTAGCCCTACCAGAGCTTCTTCCACACAAGATTTAAGATATTTTTGTAACTTTGGCCAATCGTGGGGGCTCACACCTGTAATCCCAGCTACTCAAGAGGCTGAGGTAGGAGGATCACCTGAGGCCAGGAGTTCAAACCAGCTTGGGCAACAAAGCAGTACCCTCACTCTAAAACAACCTAAAAAGTTATTTTTGTAATATTGTTACACTTTCCCATTCTTCAATCCTAATCATAGCTACTATTGATTCTATTTTCACTTGACTTCACTTTTATAAAATTATTTTTTGAGGATAGGGCACTTTATGCACTGCCCATGAGTATATAAATGATGCAACCATTTTGGAATATGTTTGCCATTATCTAGTAAAGTTAAACATGTAATTCTACTTCTGTGTATAAAATTTGCAGAATTTGGCTGGACACAGTGGCTCATACCTGCAATCTCAGCACTTTGGGAGGCTGAGGCAATTGGATCACCTGAGATCGGGAGTTCAAGACCAGCCTGACCAACATGGAGAAACCCTGTCTCTATTGAAAATACAAAATTAGCTCGGCGTGGTGGCACATGCCTATAGCATACCAGCTACTCAGGAGGCTGAGGCAGAAGTATCGCTTGATCCCGGGATGCAGAGGTTGTGGTGCGCTGAGATTGCACCATTACACTCCAGCATGGGCAACAAGAGCAAAACTCCATCTCAAAATAAAAAAAATTTGCAGAAATTAACTCTTGCATATATGTACCAGGAGACATATACTAGAATGTTCATATCAGTGTTTTTTTGTTCAGGAGCTATTCAGGTGCTTTGCCAATTTTCTTTTTAATTCAGTGGCCAGTTTTGCCAATTTTTAAATTGGATTATTTGTCTTTATATTATTGGTTGTAAGAGTTCTTTGTATATTTTGTACACAATTGAGAATTTTGTGCTTCTCAAAGCTTTAACTGTTCTGCAGACAAAGTCCATGAAACATGAATTGACTGACATAATTTTTCAAACTGGAAGGGTCATAGAACTAGTGACAGGAAATCTTTGTTCAGGAACGACCTACCTGGAGAGTTCCAGTCAGTTTGGAAGCCACCCACATAACCAAAAAGCTAAAAAGAATTCAATATTTTTCTTCAGTACCATAAAAGAAAAATGGAAGATGAGAAAGGGCAAATTTACACGCTTACTTTGTGAAAAAAGAAGCTTTTCTAGGTTTCATTACAAACATGTCCAATTTCACTTCTGTTTTTTGTGAATAACTAAAAGTAAGTGAAGTACTCTCTTTTTATTTTTTTATTTTTTTGAGACAGGGTCTTGCCCTATCACACAGGCTGGAGTGCAGTGGTGCGATCTCAGCTCACTGCAACCTGTGCCTCCCTAGGCTCAAGCAATCCTCTAGCCTCAGCCTCTCGAGTAGCTAAGACTACAGGAACACGCCACCACGCCTGTTTTTTTGTAGAGAGAGGTTTCACTGTGTTGCCCAGGCTGGCCTCAAACTCCTGAACTCTACAAAAAGCAAAGAAAAAACAAAAAATAAAAAAATAAAAACATTAAAAAAATAAATAAATATAAGAAAAAAAAGAAAAAAAAAAAAAACTCCTGAACTCAACCTATCTGCCCACTATGGCCTCCCAAAGTGCTGAGATCATAAGCATAAGCCACCGTACCTGGCCTAAGTATTTGTCATAATAAAGATTTTCATAAAGGCATACGGTCATATTACAATTTTCTTCCTAGTGACCCTACTTTCCTAGTTTACCTAGCAACATTATTTTTCAGGGTCTTTGATTTGGAAGTTGTATTTTTTTTTTCATTCTAAGCATCTGGAATTTACCTCAGAAACATTGTTTTTGGAGGAAAAAAAACTTTTGATGTCACAAATAGATAAGACTACATTAGGGAATTTAAAGGAATTTCTTTTTTTTTTTTTTTTTT